GGCCTTTCCAGCAGCGTGGGCACCAGTCGGAGCCGCAAGCCAAGAAGGCTAGCGGAGGGGGAGGGCGTGGCCCTAACACCCCAGACTTCTCCGAAAGCAGTGTAGAGGCTGTGGAAGGATGGGGCACATCGAATAGCAGTGCCGTGATAAGAACGCAATCAAGTATTCTGGGAAGCCTAAGCCAGGCGGCGCTGAACCTTCCGGAAAGAAGGATTTTCATAAGCCCAACTAGGGTGTGGGTACCTAGTTGGAGGAGTAGATCGAGTGGATGAGGCATATGTGCTATGTAATGATAATATATTAAAGCTAGAGAAGCTTGCTGATTGCAAAGTCTCTTGTTTGTTTGCCTCTTCTTTTAATAGAAACTCTGTTTTTTATCCACGATCGTACCCACTTGAGAAAATTTCCATGGAAGCAATACATGATAGGTTTTTAAAATAGGCTTGGACATTCTGCCTTCTGTCATTGAAATTGTGAGTCGTTGCACTCAAGAGCACCCCCTGACTTCGGTCACGTTGGTGACTCGCACAGTGAAGGCGAATTGTTCCATATGCTTCGTGGATGGCCGGTCCTAGCGGCGTGGGACAAGGGACACCATATATGGTGGACCAACTCTCAGTCACATAGTCGTGCTTGTCACAATATCAAGGTGTATTTCAAACCTTCGACGAATATTGGGGCATGTCCTATTCGCCCAAAGCATCAACAAGATTTGTTGCTTGCGGGTAGCGTGAACGAGGAAAACGCAAAAATCCTTGTTGACACAGGGGCAACTGTTTCCCTCTTTAACAAAAAGTGGGCCACAGCACGACCGTCTTGCCCCATGCGCCTTGGAGATGATAGCATCATTCCAAGCAAAGAGCGGACACGGATCAACATGGAGATTGAGGGTTATCACGAAGAGATCTGCGCGTATGTTTTACCCCTTCTCGCAGGCGTCGACCTTGTCCTTGGAATGGATTGGCTTCGAGTGAATGATGTCAAGCTCGATTTCCAGGACAATACGGTCTCATTATCAAATAATGGTGACACTGTCCAGTGGCAAGTGCCTAAGAACTTGATCACGAATGACCAACCCACGTTGGAACGCCCCGACGTAAGTTTTGCGCTTGCAAATAAGTTTGGACAGCATGTTCGACAAGCTTATATATTCTTTGTGGTATAGCTTGAGAATGTTGAACACGAACTGCCTGAGGTCGAGGACTTTCCACCTCAGATGAAAGCACTGGCAGACGAATTTGCAGGGGTTTTTTAGCCCATCCCAGATGGCCTTTCTTCGGACCGTGCAGTCGGTCATACCATCCCCGTGGAACCTGGAAAACTCCCACCTTTTAGACCTTTGTATCACCTCAGTCCAGCTGAGTACGTAGAGGCTAAAGAATATATTGAGGAATATCTCTGGAAATGACGAATTGAACCAAGCGCATCACCTAACGGAGCGCCGATCTTGTTCGTGAACAAAAAGGGCGGAGGGTTACGAATGTGCGTAGACTACCGTGCTTTGAACAAGATAACGGTGAAGAACAGGTATCCCCTACCGAGAATAGAGGACCTGTTCGACAAACTGCAGGGTGCCCAGTGGTTCAGCGCGTTGGACCTCGCGCACTTGTATCACCAATTGCGCATCACTGAAGAAGATGTACCCAAGACGGCTTTCCGATCGCCGTTTGGTTATTTTCAGTGGCATGTGCTGAGCTTTGGCCTGACCAATGCTCTTGCCTCTTTTCAGAGAGCTATGCGTGATGTCTTTTGCGAGGCGATTGGATAGTTCGTTCTGGTCTATCTGGATGACATCTTGGTTTATTTCAAGATGGAAGAGGAGCACAAGCGACACCTTAAGTGGGTGTTGGGGAAGCTACGCGAGCATACGTTCTATGCTCGTCCGTGGAAATGTCATTTCTACAAACGCAAGTTGGAATATCTTGGCCATCTTGTGGGAAATGATGGTCTCAAAGTAGACCGAAAGAAAGTTGTCGCGGTCCTGAACTGGCCGGTGCCAGAAGATGTGGGTCAAATCAGGTCATTTTTTAGACTGGCAAACCGTTTTCGTCGATTCTTGCAGAATTATTCTACCGTTGTTGCTCCATTGACGGCCCTCACTCGCAAGAGTAGCGCTTGGCAATGGGCACAGCAATGCCAAAAGGCATTCGCCAAGGTCAAGCAAATGCTGACCAACGCTCCGGTACTGGTTTTACCAGATCCGACGAAACCCTATTAGGTTGTTAATGACGCCTCATTGATAGGGATTGGGGCTGTCCTCTTGCAAGAGAAGAGACCAGTGGCATTTGAGAGTCGAAAGCTCTCCCCGGCAGAGCAGCGCTATACGACGTCCGAACAGGATTTGTTGGCGGCTGTTCATGCGTTACTCACACGGCGTTATCTGGAGGGTGTGGAATTTGTGGTTACGACCGACCACTCTCCAAACATCTACTTCTCCACTCAAGCCACGCTTACTCGACGTCAAGCCCGATGGGCAGAACTCCTTAGTGGGTTCACTTTCGATATTCAATATCGAGCAGGTTTGACGAACATGGCTAACCCCCTCAGCAGATAGCCGATAGGGGCAGCAACACGGCTAGTCAACACAGAGGATGCGGCAACATTTTCTGCTTGCTACAGTGTCCTAGCAACAGCTCGAGTGAGTGAGATTACCTTTAGTGGATTTCTGAAACGCATCCGCACAGAGTATCAAATTGACTCATGGTTTCAGAACTTACGAAACACAAAGGAACTCAAGTGGGAGCATGCGCTCTGGTGGCGTAAGGAGATTGTTGTACCTCATGTGGGTAACTTGCGGAATGACATTCTGGAAGAAGTGCATGCCACTAAGTATGGAGGACACCTAGGGGTCAAGAAGACTAGGTGGGCCTTGAGTGATATGTACTGGTGGCCGGGATTGGGCACCGAGGTCCAACAATTCGTGGCGCACTACGACGCATACGCACGACATAAAATGGACACAAAGAAGCCTGGTGGTTTGCTTCAACCACTCGAGATCCCGAATGAACCTTGGGAGAGAGTATCCTTGGATTTTATCACAGATCTTCCCAAGAGTCGCAATGGCCATACAGCGATCCTAGTGTTTGTGGATCGTCTGACAAAAATGGTGCATTTCATGGCTACGACAACTGACGTATCTGCGGAAGATACGGCCAAACTGTTTGTGGCGCACGTTTTCCGCTTACACGGGTTACCACGTGCATTGGTGTCCGACCGGGATCCGCGCTTCACAAGCCGGTTCTGGCAAGAAGCCGCCCGGACACTAGGGACGAAGCTTAAGATGTCATCAGCGTTCAACCCACAAACTGATGGGCAGACAGAATGAACAAATCGGACACTTGCGCAGATGCTTCGTTCATTCACTGGCCCAACTCAGGATGATTGGGCCGAGTTGTTGCCTGTCGTTGAATTCGCAGTGACCAATTCAGTTCATGAAGGTACACGTGAGAAACCTTTCATTCTGAACTGTGGTCAGCATCCCACAACACCTGATACGCATGAGATCGGTGGATTGAAAAGTCCTGCCGCTAAAGACTTTGTTGGCAAGTAGTAAGAAGCGCTAAGTCTGCTCGCCATTGGCTGCAACTCTCTCAGCAGCGACAAAAGTCTTACGCCGACATGAAACGCCGGGAAGTTGCTTTTGAGGTCGGAGACAAAGTTATGTTGAGCACGAAGAACATTCGTCTCAAAATCCCTGGAGCACAAAAGCTGTACCCTCGATGGATCGGGGCATTCGAGTTGATCAAGCGTGTTGGTGTGGTAGCCTACAAGCTTAAGCTACCTGACACTATACAGATTCACAACGTCTTCCATGTGTCTCTGTTGAACAAGTACGTTGCAGAGGGCAAGTACTTGCCGCCACCAACGATCATCCTAGGGGAGGAACTGTTTTATGAAGTCGAACGAGTTGATGCATCGTGATTGACAGCGCGGGCGCAAGACAGTACGAGAGTTCCTCATCAAGTGGAAAGGCTATGGGCCTGAACACAACTCATGGGAGCCAGAAGAGCATTTGACTGAAGTTGCAGTTCAGTCATACATGGCAGATTTGGCCCGACGAGGTGCCGCACAGCCAGTGGATGGTGTTGACCCTAGTCGTAATGTGACACGGCGTGCTCGAAGCGCTCGTCCTCAGAAGCACCCTAAGGCAACGGGGACGTTGCCACCTAGGGGGGGAGGAGTGTAACGCACCACCTAACTACAACTACTTCTTCCTAGTCTAAGTTGAGAAGTGTCTCGACAAAAATAGGACTACGGGAGTTGAAGGTTGGGTTGGGAGAGAAAGGTTGGCTTGGGATTCCAACCCTCAACTTTGAGGCTTGGAACTTTCCGAACAAACAAATGTGAAGATTGAATGGTTGGGTTTCCAACCAATCAGAACTTGCCCGTTGTGGTTACAATCCACACAAACTTTGAATCAACCATACAACACAATTAAGTTGGGTTTTTCCAACCAAACAAAGATGCCACCTAAGCTCCAAGCCTATGAGCTCCCCAACCATGGAAACCATGATCGAGAAGAGCCCCCAAGGGGTATTGTGGAAGGGTTTAGAGCTGGCAAGCTCATTCCTCACTTCCCAACTCCAACTTACCATTTTGAAAATGGGATTTATCTAAGTCTTCAAGTTCTCCTAACAGACTCTCCTACACAACTAGAGTCGTGGTTTCTTCAAGGATAAGTTCTACAAGAAGCTACCTACCTACTTGCTAAAGCTTCACCAACATTCTTCGTGCTTCAGTGTGTCTTCCGCCTCCCACGCTTGCGCCTGCGCCACTATGCTAGCGGACGACCTAATATGCACGCAAGGACTACACGCGCAGCAGCGGCGGAAGCCCTTGCGCTCGCACTCGCAGGCCGGGGCCAACCCAGGGCACGGGGGAAAGGGAGGTTGAGACAAAGGGAAAAACAGAAGGGAGCAAGAGCGCGCTCGCGGCCGTTGCCAAGGCAGCCGCCGAGTTGTCGCTACAAGTCGGGGGCGAGCAGCATGTTGGCACGGTAGATGCCCCTCAATCCGCCTCCTTCTGGGAGCCAGAGCTTTGGTCGGCGTGCAGGAGAGAAGACGCAGGGGGTGCCGGGGAGGAGAGGTAGCACGCCTGTCACGGGGCGTCCGCCCCTCTCCTCCTTTCCCTCTCAGCCCGTCTCCTCCTTTCCCTCTCAACCTCCCACCTCCTTTCCCTCTCAGCCCCTCTCCTCCTTTCCCTCTCAGCCCTTCTCCTCCTTTCCCTCTCAGCCCCTCTCCTCCTTTCCCTCTCAGCCCCTCTCCTCCTTTCCCTCTCAGCCCCTCTCCTCCTTTCCCTCTCAGCTCAGCCCGTCTGTCTGCACAAGACCTTGCTGCATGCTTGGCCTATCCAATGCTGAGGGCAACAGGCTCAAAACGGAATGCCCAATGCACCATGCATGCACCATGCACCTTGCCACGTGCCCCATGCCCCATGCACTGATCACAATATCCGCCCCTTCCCCGCTCCACTACTTACCCCTTCCCCCCCACCCGCCTCCCTCTCCCCTCCATCCCCTTATGAGGTGCTGGGTGCGTGAGTAGGCTATATTTCATATTACCACTCTGGTGTGGCCTCTCCCCTCCCCCTCACACCCCAGACCCCTTCCACACTAGCCGCTCGTGCCACCGCCACGCTTCTCCGCGTGCCCGGATAACAAGCTTGCGGAATGAGGGGGAGTGCGGGCATGGAGGTGAAGTGAAGGAGGTGAAGGGGGAGGATGGGGATGCAGGAGGCAGAGCAGTGCTGGAGTGGGGGCTTTGCTCGCTGCATGCAGGTGCGCCTCAACTTCCCTGATCACCATCCTGCATCCTCTCTCACCGTCCTGCCCTCCTCCCTCACCACCCCGCTACCAGGTGGGCGCTGATCGACCTCTTTGCTGGCCCCTTCTCGGCAGTAGTGGCGGTGGTGGTGTGGCAGGAGGGAGCGGTAGAAGCAGTGGCATGGGGAGTGGGTGGAGCAGCAGCAGCAGCAGCATGGTGGCGGTGCCACTTCCACGACCTCTCCCACGCCTCCTCAGGGTTGTGCCATGGGGTGGGCACTCCCAGGTGGGGTGGTCGGTCCCAGATGTGCAGGTAAGGGTTATCCGCTGCAATGGCCCCCGTACCTTCCCGCCTCTCTGCACCACCCCATTCCACCCCATCCTCCTGCCACGCGCCTCACCTCTTGCACGCCACCTCTTCCCGTCTCCCTTGTCCTGCCCTCCGTTTTGCCCCTAGTCCCTCCCTCACTATCTCCTTGTCCTTCCCTCCATTTTCCCCCATGTTTCTCCCACCCTTTCATTTTCCCCCATGTTTCTCCCACCCTTTCCCCCCTGGTCTGCCGCTCTGCTTCACCTTCCCCGTTCATCCTTCCTCGTCGCTCTAGTCACTATCGTCTCTCTTGTTGCTCTCCACACTCTGGTCCCTCCCTTCGCGCCCCGTCGCTTCCATCCCTTTAGAGGATCCCTCTCGCACCTTCCTTCCCTCCACGCCTTTCCCCTTGCCCTATGCTGTTTTACCCTCCATCCCTATGCGGTGTCCCCCCTTCCCTACAATTTGCTTCCCCCCTTCACTCCGCCCTCCTTTTCCCATTTTTCCAACGCACAGCTTTTCCCCTTCCATGCGCGATCACATTCCCCTTCTGGACGAGCTGCTTTCCCCACTTCTCCCTGCGCGGCCCCCCCTTTTCCTCCACGCTGTTTCCCCACTTCTCCACGCTTCTCTATTCCTCAACCCCACAATTCCGTAAGCATTCCCCCGCTGACCTTCCCTCCTTTCCACCCCTCCCCCCTCCCTCCCTTTACCCCGTGTCCTCCCTTCCGTTTTTCCCTTAATCTCACCCTCCCTCTCCCGCATGTCCGTCCCTCCGTTTTCCCCCTTGTTTCTCCCTCCCTTCCCCCTTGACCTTCCCTCCATTTCCCCCCTTACTATGTGTCGCTGACTGTGCCTCAATCTGTGTTTCCCCTCTGCCTTTCGCCGGCCCTGCCTGTTGGCACCACCCCAGTCGTGCGCTCCACCACCACCTCCCCATTCCCTGCCACCCTCTGCCCCCCATCGTTCTGCCCATCGCTGCACATGACTGCCGGTGTTGGTGAGGGGAAGATGGCGAGTCAGGTGGAGCGTTGACGCGTCGTGGCGGCACACGTAGCAGGCCAGCCCGCACCAGATCTTGCCCCTCGGCCCACCCTAGCCGTGGGGGTGACAGGGATGGACTCACGTCATCTCAGGCCTGGGCAGGCGGGGCAGCCGCAGCAGCAGGCAAAGTTGGTGCCGTTGCGGCAGTTCCGTGCTCGGTATCTGGCTGCTTCTCTTCTGCCAGCTCGCGGTGCATGGCGGCAGCACTCACAATCATTACACTGTGTCCTGCACATCCGCTTCCCCCTTTACCTTTCCTCTTTCCCTTCCTTCAACGCCTTTCACTCCCCCAAGGGCAACCACCCTGGCACACACCCCCACTCCACGTACTCAAGCATTCTAGCCCTGCCGTCCCTCTCTCACACCCCTCCGTCCCTCACACCCCTCCCTCTCTCACACCCCTCCCTCTCTCACACCGTCCATCTCTCACCCTGTCCTCTTGCTCACGCTCATCCCCTTACTCACACAGTCCTTTGCTGTATTTATCATTTGCCCGCACTGTCTGCTGCTCACTCTTCCATCTCTGCCCCTCCCACCCCTATCCTTGGCCCATTACACCCAATCCCGTTTTTCTCCTCACCGCCCTTTCCTCGTTCGTCTCATGTATGGACTCACGCGGCCTATACCCACTCTCCCCCCCTTACGCAGGTTTATCACCACATCTCACCCAGGATTTACGGCCCACGATATGCATCTGCATCCCCACTGCTTTCCATTCGTCCGTTGAGAAGAAAGTGGTAATGTGCACCGGATTAGCCGCACGATGTTGTGTTGCAACAATGACAGGGTTGGAGCAAGCAGATGGGTCCATCCATGGTATAGGATGTAGTGCTGGTCTAGTGTCGGCCAATGAAATGCCTCCACACAGTAACATGCTGTACGTGTTTTAGAGAATTGTCGGTGTTGTTAGAATCCTGCCAGATTTAGTACGTTTTTTTTTGCGTATGAATCTTTGCGTTTGTATAACTACCAACGTCTTGTGCGCCTGTATGTGGCAAGACAATTTTTTCGCTTGTCGTTGATACATCTGGGGAGAGCACGAAGTGAAGGGTAGTTGTACTGTATATTCTCAACTCCAACCCCTAAAATTTGCGTGTCATATTGGCAATATAGAAACTAAAATAATTAGGGGAAGGAAACCCTAAAGCGTTGGCGCTTTTAAAAAAGCCGGTTAGTCAGCATGCTCAGGACCCTCTACAGGGTAAATTTACACCCGGGTACCGTACTTTGGGCATTTGTCAAAGGGAAGTGAAAACGTGATAGCATGTGTTCTTGAAGTGATGACACAAGGAAGGGGGGTAGGAGGGTCGTCGCCACCGTAACATGGGTTGGATGTGACTTGAGAGGCTGGTAGGTGGTTGGTGAAAAGAACTTGGTGGGTCGGTGTGGTGCAGGGCAGAAGGTGGCAATGAGTTGGGTGTACAGGAGAGAGGAACAAGGGGGAAATGGAGCATTTAGTGTCGATGAATAACGAACAGGGCCTGGTTTGATTTGAGAAAAAAACAAGATAGGTTGGGGGTGGGACGCGACAAAGGGAAGGGAAGAGGGAGAGTAGCAACGGAGGCATGGAAGAAGATGACGATGGGGACGCCTGATGTATGTGCAATTTTAGAGAGGAATGGTAGTTGGTTTAGGTAACAGCAGCGGGATCAAAGGGGCAAGATATGGTAATGGAAGGGCTAACAAGAAATCCTGAGCTGACCACATGTCTTGGGAGATGTTGATGAAATTGTCGTCGGTATATATGAGCCGACCGAGACTATGAATGTAATAATCATTGTAGAAGTAAGAGTTGAAGGAGGATGGGCTGTAGGAGATTGGGGAAAAGATGATGCATGAGAGTGGTGGACAAGAGTGGTGCAACAATTACCTCAATAGTAGGCCGATCGCATCCCTACACTCTCAGCTGCCACCGATTGTGTAGCCGTTGAGCCAGCTCGGGCCCGACGTGCTGCCCCGGCCCGCACTGCAAGTGGTTGTGCTAGGGCAGAGGTGGCAGATGTATCTGTTATCTCTGGCTACTGCTGCTGACGTGGTGGCTGTGCTGACACCTTACCAAGAGCACTCCAGGTCTGCATGGGCAAGGGAAATGGCATGATAGTTGACAGATGACAAGGGGGGGATGACAAGGGTTAGGAAGTTATAGGAGGGGGGTCGGATGTGAAATGGCATGGAGAGGAGGGGTTTAGGAAAATGGGAGCGAGGGGCTAGACGAGAATGTTGCATGGGTTTTACTTGGCTATAAGTGTGAGGTGCGCCTAGCATTGCATTGGGGTAAACTAGAATGTGTGCAATGAGCTGGCTGGAAAGAGGTGGTGAGGGATGGTGGTGGGATGGGAGGTTTAGGGTTTTTTACCGGCCTTGTAGCATGGGTTCCAACAGCCGGCTTCGTGTGTTGGCGTGGTATGCGGAATGGTATCTTGGGTCCACAACGAACGCCGAGAGGGGGCCGTCCATGTTTAGCGTGGGTAGTTGGAGATATCAGCTACATAACAATTGCAGAAAGGGTGGCATTGATATATTGTTATTTGGTGGGTAATGTTACCGGATGTTATGGGGAGAGAGGACAGTAAGCATTTTGCGAATGAAACGAGAAACAACTTACTCAGACAACGTCGCGCCCGTGGTCGCATCAGTGGGTGAGGGGGGGCTCTACCCTCCTGTAGTGGTGCAGGCGTGTCAGGCTCCAAACCCACTTGAGCGCTGGTGGTGCTCCTTATACCACCAGGACGAGTAGGACGTGTCGGCTCCCCATCTCAATGTTTCGAGCCACGATGCCATTATGCCATCAAGCCATGACCAATCCATTGCCGCTAAGGTCCGATCCTTGTTGCCACGCCGAATCCGGGTAACCTATCGTTGGCGCGTGCGATACGCGGTCACCAACCGATCCATGCCATTGTTCCAGTGCAGAACAGCAAGCGCCACTCGTGCTTCAAAACTTCCCTGAAACCGAATCCTCTTTGGAGCGTACTTGAGGATGATCGAGTGGAAAGATTCGTTGATGGAACTAGATGCACCATGCACCAACGATTTCACATTGTCTGGCCCGCATCGCTTTGCAAGCCAATCCTGCACCACCTTGTGAGTCTTCGATCTTTTCACGTAAATCGCAGTCTCGATGCCCCACCCCTCCGTCACGCAGCGAGATATACGCCCCGATTGTCCACACCCCGAATGATCGCCCGCCCAATGGTTGGCTGCAAGCCCCAGGTCGCCAGCCACCTCTTCAGGTGTCATCGTCTCACCATCCGCCTTCCGTGCAGCACACCTCATCATGATGTAGTGAAAGTGCGAAGCAAAGCGTGAAGCCACCGTCACTTCTTCGTCATCACCGTCCCGTTTTCATTTTCAAAGCCTCGTCCAACGTGGTGGTGGTGCTGTCTCTGATGCACATTCAGTTCTGTCTTCGCCTCCATCACCAGGATCACCAACCCCTCCCACAAGCCCTGCAAATTAGCATCAGTCAAGGTGATTGTCTCATTGCCTTGCTCGAACGAGTGCCATAGTATAATTGAAAAATCACAATATCTTAGTCGCAAACTCACTTGCATAGGGGTCGCGGGAGGTCCAAGGAGTGCTTCCTTCAATGAAATTGGAGTGCGCGCCCTCTCCTGTGTGCGCACGCATCACCAGAGAAGAGGCGAATGACGATGGCCGGACTCCATGTACGGGGTGTAGATCATATCCCTAAAGCTCAACGACATCTCCCCATTGGACCTCCACCGGCACTCCTCCGGATTCTGGTTCCTCGTCCACAAGTCTGTCTGTCTCCACCACCCTCGGATCTTGTGTTGGACAAGCATGTTGTGCATTAGGCGCATCTCCATACCCCACTGGAACATCAACCAGTCTGCCACTGCCCCCAACCCGTCGCACTTTCCGCAGATCCGGATGCTGCCACTTTGCATCGTCTTGTGTCATCTTCACTTAGGGGAAAGCTCCCATGGCTCTGCACACTGACTCCACCAGACTCTCCTTCAGTGTCCCTTTGCTCTCTTGAAGAAGCCCTTTTGTTTTCAACCACAACTTCAGCCCCTCGATCGTAGCAAGCCATAAATCTTCGATCCTACTAGCCTTGTCCAGCGACACAGGTGCACGTAGTGCGTCCTGTAATTACTTCCGAAATAAGTTGTACAGTGTCTTCTTCACATGCCACGTGTCTACTTGATGATTCAATTTATGGTCGACAGCAGCTCCTTTGAGCGTGGTTTCCTGGTCTGAAACAATCCCCTTCACCACAAACCCCTCCGTTGCTAGTTCGTCAAGTCCCTCGTCAAACGCGATTCTCTCCAACTTGACCGAAGAAGGGTCATGGACATGTTTTCGTGTATTTGAAAAATACAATATTTTCCGTGTCGCGTCATCCATAAAAGATACTGTACACCACTCCCCCTCTCTCACGTGAGACCACCGTCCATCCACCATGACAAATTCCACCGGGATCCCGCATTTCTGCATCTCGGTGCGCACCTTCTGCATCGATCTATCTGCTTCATTTATAATCGCTTTCCATAGACCTTTATCTTCGCTAAGATGCTTATAAAATGTAGCTTTGGCTGGGGAAGGGATGCCAAAGATGCAACAAGACTCCCACATCTGCTGATGTCCTAATCCCCCCAAAGCAAAGGCTGCCACAAATTTAGCCTGGAGAATGGGCGGACGTGCTCCACTAGTGGCTCGCCTTTTCTCGATGGCTCTAATGTTGCACGACCAAAACTCAATTACATGTGAGCATGAATTACAGTGCCAAAGCAGCCACATCCACG